GAGTCTGCATATTTTCAAAATTATATAGTATATAGAAATTGCTAATTTAAATATTCAGTGAAAATGTCATGTATCTACGATAATTTTTTTTAGAGTAACATCAAAAACCAAAACCGATTTTGCGTGTAAATCACAGATTTTTCTTAATTTTTGTTGGTTTTTCTTGACGCTTTCAAAAACTATTGGGCATTTTTACTTTTGACCCCTCAAAGTACCAACTAGATTTACTTTCCTACCAGAAAAGATGAAGAAAATCGAAGTGCCGCAAAAGGTGGTGCCAGACACAAGAGCAAATAAAAAAACACACCATTGTAAAATCAATTCATCGCTCCACTCGGAATATAAAATGAAACCGAAAAACTTTGAAAATATGTTAGCATGGTTTTTTTTTTTTTTTCTATAGACATTCGAAGTTCAAATTCAAAGACGAAATGTTATTTCACATATAAGTAGTTGACTACAATAATTATACGACAACAGAAATACAATCAATGTTACGGCGCGACGAGCGATTACATTATTGTGTTCTAATGAAACAAAACTGGCTGACGAAGACCGTGCATAAATCGTGTAAACAAAATCAATTTTCCCGATCGGATTTTCACCGTGGGCACGGTGAAAACCGCGTGACGCTAATGGAGCCGTCTTCACTCAGAATGTGAAACAATGTGACGAACGGTCAAATTCAGTGAACAACAACAATAATAATCAATAATCATTTTCCATTTTCTCGGAATATGCAGCTCCTTATCGCGCGGTTCGACAGGCGATTAAGGTCTTTTGCGTAGCACTCATGTACCACCGCCCGTGTATGTTTTTATCGTCAGCCCGATTTCGATGACAATTATTTAGTGGACGTTCTCAAGCTAGTAGATAATATTCACGTTCCCACATCGTCCATTTGTCCATTGACTTGGACCGTCCACGTATATTTAATCGATGATAATATCCGTACAATTTTAATTATTCTCGTACGATAATTGGCCCGAAATGCGATTTTGTGGTTTGAAATTGTGTTCGCGTATTTTGTAATAATGTAATAATTTCATATTTGCATGTAATTATAACGCGAACGAACGAGAGGCGAGTGGATTGTTTATACGGTCTGCAGCTGGTAGCTGGGCGAATGAATGAGCGCGCGCGGGGGAGGGATATGAAGACGGACAGATATGCATAGGTACGAGCCAAACCGCCCCTCCCCTCCCCCCCTCCCTTCCCCCGGCGGTCTCACATGAGATATTTAACGCGATCAAATTTTACTATTATTTAGTCCACAGATTTGCAGATAATTAATTTGTCTTACACGTCACATATTGACCAAACATTTCGCCGAGCATCCATAAAACGCTTTTAAATTGGATGAGTCATAATTTATGACTCGACTGACACAACAGCATTTGACACGAATAATATGTGACCAATGTGGTTAATAATAAAATGTTGGTATCAAAATAAACGTTGTAGGTCCGGTTCGATTTTTCTGTTTTCCGACCAATTTGCACGACCAAAACGAGTGCGTGAAAGTTCTTTCTTTGCAATCGCATGGAAATCTAAAATACATGAAATCATGAATGTATGGTTTTTTTTTTTTATAAACGCAATGTTAAATGGGACGGGAACAATATTCCTTTTCTTGACAATTGGAAAATGTGTTTAATTTACCCCCCCCCCCCCTCTCCCCAATTTACCAAAATATTGAAATGACGCCAGTGGCGTCGAATACCCTATGATAAAATGTCGATATTTTCCATTTTCAATATTATTATATTATTTCAAATTTGTCCGTCGAGGACAGTCGAATGAAAAAAAAAAAAAAAATCGTATTTGTATTAATTTGATCATTCTTCTTCGACCTTGTGTCGTGAGTAGCGAGTAGGGATGGGATCGGCAGTAGGTCAGTGCCGTCTTTTCCGAACGTTGGTGCGGCCTTTGTCGGTTTACGTTGGGTATTCCGGGAAACGATTGGTCTGAATCTATGTGCACCGGGCCGCGGATTTCTCAAAACCACACCGGTTTACATTTAGAGGGGAAATCTGCACAGATACGCTGTGCGCCGGCGAATATTCGGTCGATTATTATATTTACGCCACACGTGACCACTTCGCGCGCTCCGTCAACACAATGCCCATTGTCGGGTCCCGCCCGGACGTCTGCAACAGCAATACGAATCCCCGTAGCTATTGTTGTAATATTTTCTTTGTGTCCGAGATTAGTTTTACCGCTCAACCCTCCCATCCGCAATGTTGTCGCAGATTTTGTTTGACACACGGACGTTTCGAACCGCACAAAACAGAATATGAAAAATAAAAATCAGTCCCCGGAATAAAATAGAAACATTTTTATTGAACAGAAAAAATGGAATATTTTTCCCTATTTGGTTGTATAAGTTTATTATAATATGTATTTCGAAATCGCTTATTTTTCACGCATCTAATCTAAAATTGACAAATAGTTAAATATCATAATTATAATATAATACACTCATTATCGACATTTCATAGATTATGACATATTGACTGTACTGTGTACTCAATAAATATAATTTAATTTAGTAAGTACAGTGCTCGGATATTGGAAAAATTAATAGAAGAGGGACAGTGAGACTTGATAAAATTACGGTGCCCACGAATCGCGTCCCAAGTCGATTATTATTAAACATATATTCTTTTTTGGTGGTTTCCAAACTGTTTTTACAAGTAAGTATCTATACTTTTGACCCACTTCCCGTGGTCCGATCAATTGGAAATAATATTAAATTAAATATTTTATGTAAACATAGTGATACAAACATTACGGACCCGGGACTCTACGGACTTTCCAAAACCCAATCGATAAGAAACTTTACCGTAGTTGTATATATTAGGCAAAACATGTATAATAAAGTAATAAAGTAAACACAAATTTATTAAATTGGAAACCATTCGTAGGTATATATACGTATTATCATAATACTCCAAGCGACGCATTTATTTATTTATATATTCAGAACATATAATCAATAATATATTATTATATCTACTGTTATACACAGTACAGATAAGATTTGTAAAAACTACAGTTCTATTTCATTATGAACGTTCAGTACATTATTCTGACGTGATCCAATCATGGGTTTTTATTAACACTGCTATATGGAAAGTGAACTTGAATTATAAATAATATTACGTGAACAGAGTGGAACTTTATACGTCGACAATGGTTTTGAATTTGGATATCATAAAAATTATTCGAATAGATGAATTAGGCGAAAGAGTACAAATAAGAATTTCAGAACTTTTTTACGAATAGGTGCACAAGTATAGGTTAGTGTTGGTAATTTAATTCACAATTACGAACAACTTGAAAAGTAAAACGCAATAATAATAAATAATAATAAAAGTTTGTGCAAACTTAACCGTATATAAACAACAAATTTTAAATGTAAGTGATTATGTTAAAATAACCATAATTATTATAATTTATACATTATTAATTTCATTCCGAATAAAATTACTCGAGTTTAAATATTTAGAATACCGTAACATTGCAGATTTCATTGGTTGCGCCTTTCCTAATTTGTATAGGCAACTTCTATTATAGTTATGCTTATATAATGTACAGGTCATAACAAAACGGGGGAACTAAACATGGAACCGTGAAAATGTTGATAATATCAATTTTGTTTATTAGAATTAATCAATATCAAATTGATTGAAAGTAAATTTCACTTAACGCATGACGTTTCAATTTAATTTCATTGAAAATAATGTCATTTACCCGATGAACCACTTAGATTGATTGGGACAATTTTATACTATCTATTATATTATTTTAATAAATATCTAAGTATCAAATTATTTTATTTTTTTGTACCTATAATAAAATAAGTACTTGTATTATATTTATAGGGAGTATAAACAATTATGATCTGTAAGTAAATCTTTGAATTCAATGATTAAATTAAAATTACTTATATTTATTAGCTAAATTAACAATGACTTTGAAATAAAAACTATACAATACAGTATTAATTATGTCATTATTATGTGGGTTAAAAAAACTAATTTGTAAACATTTTGTTTTATGCAGACTATTTTTTTATTTTTTAAAGTTGGGATTATAGAAATCAACACGAATAATAGTAATAATATCAGTATATTAGTATTAAAAATATATATATATAGAATAGGTAAATTTATTTTATTTGTAAAGTTTTTATATAGGTAATATTATATTTTTGCCATATTATTTCAAATTAAATATGTTAAAACTTCACTATAATTAAAATAATATGTGAATAGTTAACCTAACAGCTATTAGATTTTTAATATATTTTAATAAATAGTTAGGTACCTACGTTTATGAATAACGTATTGCTACTTTTCATATCTATTGATTAAAAAATATTATTATAAGTACGTATCTAATTTTATTTTCATGATTTTACGTTAATTTTATTGAAACAATTTAAACCTTTAAAAATAGTGACTATTATTTTAAATAAATAGGCACTTAACTGTCTTAACTATTATGTAATAACTCAGTACGAGTTATCTGTTGATTTTAATATGTAATCTATTGTTACGCATAATGTGATTAGTGTTTCTCCTTATTATTTAGATAATATAATTCAATCTTGTCTTGTACACATAAAACCAATTATAAAATTACTACGTACTTAAAGTTTTAATAGCAAATAATTTATACACCATCTATCTGTGCTTAGTAAAGACTAATATTTATCAAATTTAATTCTAAACCAAGTAACTTAAACTCAGATGACTCTTTCCCCATAATTCGTCATTTTGGCATTTCAAGCATCAAGTATAATAAATATAGTATAATAGTATTATGTAGGTACCTGCTTATTGGCTATAAGTATAAGGAACAAGGTGAGGTATACCAAACAATAAATTTTATGACGTTATATAGAACAATATAATAACGAATTAATTTTGGACATTTTTCCATGAATATCCATATTATCACGAGAAATAGAGATAGTACTTAATCAATGATAAGGTTAGGAAAATAATTTATATTTTTTTAAACGATATTATAATACTTAAATTTATAATATTTTTTCTTAATATAAGTGTTCAATTATTAATTAATTAATATTAATAGTATCGGTCGCATTCGCGATGCGGATCACACAAGTGCTGTACAAACATAATATCGGACGTCTCATCAAATGGCAATGGCGATCCCAGCGCAAGAAGACCTTAATTATGACAAACGCGGAAAAAATTCTCTCGTCTTATAATATACCAATTGAGGACGCCAAACAGGTGATACGGGAACCATTATTTGAGGCTCAAAAACAAGACATTAAAACGATTATGGAAAATATTGTCGGACCAGCCGAATTGCCACCTGAAGAAAATAACACACATCCATTTTGGCACGACGATCCATGTTATGTATACGAAGATCATAATATTTTAGTTCGTGGTATCGAACAAGCCAAAGTATTTACTAATTCAATTGAACCCATACCTGGCCTGCCACAGTATTTTAATGAACTCTACGAAGCATACAAATTACCCAATCAAGATGAACATATTCAAAGAGTTATCACAGCATCTATTATATATGATGCAGTGCAAGAGAAATTACCCATTAGAAAAGATCCGAAAAGACCTGCATGGAAGTTTCCTAGAGATTACGGTATTCCGGACAAAAGACGTAACAATTTAATTGTAAGTAGGCTGCTACAATTATGCGAATCCAGTGTTGGACACATGTGCTCAAATAAAATAGTTGCTAAAGATGTTTTTTTTAAAGTGCCTTTGGAAAGAAATGGAAATGTAAGCCTCAATGTAAGGGCTGATTTACTGCTTTTATCTGATAATGCTTTAGCTCCCTACACAGATGACATTCAAGGGGAACTACCAAATTTATTTCCATTAGATTATAAAATATCATTAGATGAGATAAATATTTATCATAAAAATGAGTTTATTTCACCTATTAAAGGAAAATTTAATAATATCCACACAGCATTTATACATTACAATGAAACAGAGGTAAAGAATTTGTATGAAACACCAGTAGTACAATCACAAATTATTGGAAGATCATTGATGAAATGTTATGCTTTTGCCATTGCTAATGCCAAGTCTAAATATGGAGAAGACATTAAAGAATTACCAGAACCTATTACATTACAATGTATACATACAAATGCACAATGGTTCCATTTTTCAGTTTTTCAATTGAATAGTTTAGCTAGTCCTGAAGAAGATGGAAAGAAAAACATTTACTGGCAAACACCGTTGTTAGATATCTACAAAAAATGTGGTTTTGATGGAGGTATACCGGTTTTAGAAGGATACAATCCAGAAGTATTCAAACATTTTTTGTCGTTTTATATGAATGGTATTGACTACGAGCATAAGTAATTTGTATTAGTTTTATAAATTATTATATATATTATATAGTTGGCTATATTATATATATTATTATATATTTGGCTATATTATATATATTATTATATATTTGGCTACAATAAAATACCTAGTCTGTTGAAAAAATAAATTGTAATTTAATTAAGTTAGAATTATTATTATGATCTAATTTTGGTCAATTAACATTTTCTATAATATTTTTAATGAGCAAAATATAAATAGTGAATTAATTTATTTGATACTTAGTATCAATTTGTTTGGCATAGTTATTTCATTAATGGTTAAAGAATCCTTATTAAAGAAATTTTGATTTCACACAATTAATTATAAAAGAAAAAATTTGGATTTATGATTTTAATAAGTTTCAGGATTACATGCTATAACAAGTTAAACCCAAATATTTTAATTTATAAATAAATTATGAAATGAGAGAAAGTAAAAGCTAATAATGACTTTAAAATTAAAATTTATTATTCTAGGTATATTAAATTGTTAAATTAATGTTTACGTCAAATTTATTTATTAGAATTATTATAAAATACATTTTATATTTTATGTCAATGGTTTTAGAGTTGATATATGTTATTATTTTTAAAATGTATAACAATAACTTTGATTTTGGTGTATTTAAATGAAACAATTTTATTTTTCATGAACGTTAAATATCAATAAAATTAATATTAACGGCTGTCACGGTTATCGTTTGTCAAAAAAAAAAAAAAAATGTATAGTAATCAAAAAATTCAACACCAACTTATACTAATTAGACTAATAAGTTAGATAATATAATTAATTTGTTATCAGGTGGCATCTACCTATAACTAATTAATTTAATATTTAAAATTTCATTTATAGTTACAATTATTGAAAAAAACATAGGTTGTGTTATATGGCCGTAGTACGAGAAAATTTAATTTTAAAACATTAACACAAATTTTTTATTTCATAGTGTTCTGTTTAAAATTAAAACTAAGTAACTTATAATGTATTTATGGTTTAGTTTTTAATTTTTCTCAATCCTCACAGATTAAATAAAATATTGATAAAAAAAAAAAAAACCATAAGCTACCCATTCTATAGTAAAATAAAATATAGCTTCAATAACAAAGATATAATTTTAATTTTATTATTGTAGATTATAGGTATTGTGATAAAAGGATTTAAAGTCCTATTATATTTTATTATTATTTATTAATTGTACTTTTTCAGAAATAAGATATTAGTTCTGTTAAGTAGATAATATTTAAAACAAAAATGGTGAAATTATGAATCGAAAGTGAAGAAGATCAAAGATTTCACCTCAGATACATTAAGTTAATTACTCTCAGATCATGTAATACGTATAAACCTTCAACTGCATAATTTTATCAATTTGCTCTCTGAAATATACATTTTTTTACGGTTTTAGTCAATTAAAGTTATAGCTACAATATGATCAGTTAAATTTAAATTTTATAAATATGAATATTATCAAAAGATTTGAAACTTAAAATAAAATACGAGGAGTAATAACGATCCTAAGGTTGCAACATTGCAGAAATCAAATGGTCGTTAAACATATAAAACATTGTTAAAATATGATGATAAATTAGTATTATTTCAACACAAATTTCTTATAACCGCTAAACTGTTTTTAAACATTTTTGTTGTTTTTTATTGTCACAGAGAATATACTTGATAAAATGTTCTCAATATCCGATTTTCAGTTACTTGTGCAGTGAGCCTATCATTATATTATTTGAAGTATTAATACATTGTATATTATAAAATAAAGTAAGCCAGTCAATAATGCAACCAAGGAGGGGTGTTTTTTTACAAATTCTATGCAATACCACTAATTACAAATACTAGAGCAAGTATTTATAATCAATGTCAGTGGCGTTCTCACGTCCGGGCATAATATATACTGAGGTCTGAGAGGGGTACACCCTCTTAATGAAAATATTTTATACATTTTTCGATAAATACATGTTTTGTTAAATAGATAAATATTTCATCAAAAAATGAATTTATTTATTTATCATTATAAATTTATTAAAATTGTAGTTTTTTACTGCAATGGGTAGGTATGTACCACACTTGCGAACATTTTATTGATACAATTTTAGAATTCACACTGATACAGACTAAAATATAATATAATATAATAATTAATTATTTAGACAATTTAATTGCATATTATCATAAAGAAAAACATTGTGTTACTTCGCATACCCTAACCGAACGGGCTCGGGTATGACCGCATCCTCTGATCCTTCTTAATTACTCCTTTGATCAATGGTAAATAAGTGGTATAATTTATAGGGATGATTTCTCGAACTCTTAGAAATTAGGATAATTTGAAGTTCGAGGAAAAGATAGTTTTGAAATCGAACACGAAAAGTTCAAGCTTAATGATGTTTGAATACCTATTCAAACAATATTGTTAGATTATTATTGATTTATTTGTTATTGTTTAATTTTTCAATTTGTATTATTTTTTGAAAGTTTGGAAGTTCAAGAATAGTTCGAATATGATTCAAGTTCAAGTTCGAAAAGTTTGAGCAAAAATAGTAAATACTAGTAAGTACCTACCTACCTAGTTGAAGTTCGAACAAATTTACAATTACACTTAAATCTTTGTAATTTTAAGTATGTGTACGTCATGCATGTCACCTAATTAGTAATTTACTAGGTATATGGAAAACCTGTCAAGAAATTTGTTTAAAATTCATAATCCCTTCATCCTGAAAATGAATCTTGGTTGCGCAACTGGCTTAAGTAATACCTAATATATTATTATAAATCTAGATGAATGGGGGCATCATAAATATAATTGCATTATAACTGCAGTATACTAATACCCGTACTCAAATAAAATAAGAAAACAGAAAAAAAACACAAAAAAATAAAAAAAATTGCGGCCTTTACCTTTTTTACAATGTTATTAGATTTGCTATACCTACCCTAACAGTACAAAACATTTCATAGGAACTCCTGAGGACTCCTTTTTGGGAGTTGAATGACTCCTATAGACTTCCCAATTGTCCTCTCTTGAGGGACTCCAAAGTTAAATCTAGCACTCAATGGTGTAAACTCAAGGTTGGATATTTTAAGGACTCCTTATTGTATTCAAATTGTGTTTCCAGTGGAATGATATTGAGGAATAGATGATTTAGATATTAGTACTTCAAACAAATTATTTTTAAGAATTTATTACTCTTTTAATGTAATTAACTTATCTTAAAATAATGTTCATCAATTACTAGTACTAACTTTTAAACCTATCGATAGATAAGAAGATAAAGAGAAGTTTAGTTTATATATTTTATTTTTTATTAGTTTTCAATACAATTTTTTATTAATTAATATATAATAAGTATACATTAATTAAAATATAATTTTTCATATTAAACCTGTTTTGTTTTTTTGTTGTTTAATTTTTAGTAGGTATAACTACTAAAATTTGTTATTGGGCTCAGTTTGTTTGAATGTGTATAAAGAAATAAGTAACTATATGGTTTCAATTAGCATAAATAACAAGTTGATAACATATAAAAGTCATACAAGTTAGTATTTATTTTAGGAGTTGGTAGGTAATTAAAGGTAGAATACAAATTAATGATAAAAAAATCAGAATTATTTGTTCAGTATATACCGTTACACAATTCATATAAAACTTTATAACTATTAAGGTAATATTTTTTTTTTTTATTATAATAGTGATAATACTGTTCATTTTAAATTTTAATAAGTATTTAAACTTATGAATTAATGTAACAAATCACATTAACCCAGTGAATTTTCTTGGATTTAGAATAAAATAAAAACAAATAAATTATTTTTTGGTATTATACACATTATTGTAATTATTAATGAAAAATAAAGATAAACTTAGTAACTAATATAACAAATTATCACATATATCTTAGGAAGTTAATATAAAATATATACAATTATGATTAAATCCAATTGACAGTTATTTTACCTGATAATTTCTGTTAAATTTCAGTATAATACGTGTTTTATACATTGGCTTATCGATAGGGTGGCATGACGGCAAAAGGCCACGGGCCCATGAACCCTAGAGCGCCGATCAAGGAATGTGTGGAATCCAAAAAACAGATCATCAATGTAACAAAAATGTAAAAATACGATTATCTTTGGGAAAACTATGTTTTCCTAAAAAATTAAAACGATTTAAATTAAAATTAATTTACAATTTAGAAAAATTTATTATTTCTACACGCTTATGGATTATTTTACGCACAGCGTTTGCTCTTTGACGTCTGCGACAATAATAACAAAATTTTTGAACGGATGAAACGTATTCTATGTTTAGAGTGGTAATACCTTCTTATCTAGGAAACCGTATTGGCGATTGTCGATTACTCGGTTCGTTGTAATACAAGCCCGGTTGAAACGTCCGTCGTTTTTCGATATTATTTTGCGAATTCTGATTAGTCGTCGTGTCGTCACCGTCGTTCGTTGGTCTATTTCGTCTTCGTGGTGCGTACTTTGCCGTGAATTTTATTCGCAATAAATATTGTGAAAATGTCGAAAAATATACCTAGCGGTGGTTACGAAGGGCGTAAAAAAAAAAGACGGATGAACACGAAAAATCGTCAAAACTGCTTAAAATAAGTGGTTTTTTTTTTTACTTCTAATATTGTTCCTTGTGTAAATAAAAGTGAAGTTAGAATTATAAATAGTAATAATACCGACGTTGATATCGAGACAAGCGTAGAACATAGTACTGCAGGTGAAACGACTGACCGTGAAGACTTCACATCTGAAATTTTACCATGTTATTCTTCTAAAGGTACGAATCAAAATACATTGATATTGTTTTTAAAAATATTATTGAAACTTTTTCCAATCCAACGGATCTTGGTAATTTTAAAGAAATTGTGTGAGGTGCTAAAAACTAAACGTTTTATAATTGAAAATGGATATAGTAAACATAAAGATAAAGGGTCTTTTCCTAAAAATTCATATGGTAGATATTTAATGTTAATATTCCTGTAACATCTGCAAGCGCGAAATGATCGTTTTCCAAGGTACAAATGATTAGAGGCTATTTAAAAAGTACAATGACCCAAGATCGTTTAAGTGGTCTAGCATTACTTTTTATCGAACAAGAAACAGCTCGAGAGGTTAATTTCGAGGATTTAATTGATAAGTTTGCTGAAGCAAAAGTAAGAGAGAAGAAATTTTTATAAAACTGACTGCATATTACTTTAAATATAAATTAAATATTTTAAAAATTGTGTTATTCACAATTGTATAGTACATATGATTTAATTATTTATTAGCTATTAGCAGGAGTGAATCTAGATATTTATTCAGAAAGTGGGTGCATGCTCTTCATATCCCAAATGTGTAAGACCAAGGGCCGCTGGATCATTTTGCCACGGACAATTGAAGTTCTAGTTACGTCACTGGTTTTATACTTTACTGTATTATACGTTCCAACACTAACAATATAGGTATTTAACGAGGTATTTAATTATTTCTGGAATCATTCATAAAAGTGTTGTTAAGTTTATAAGCAAAGTAAATACAATTGTTATTATTACGGTAACTGATGTGTGAAATTAATACCTCTTTGAATAGATACCTACTTGTCTGGTACATAGGAAGTAAAGGCCAAGACTGTTTCTGTTAGCTTTAGCAAAAAGTTTAATACACCCATCATAATTTCTTATAGTCAATCAAAATATACCAGAGCCTTTGTTTGACAATTTTTATAATATGTTGTATAAGTTATAATTTATGGTAGAACACATCTAGACATAATTTTTATTGTGTATTATCAAATTATCAAATTATGGCGGTAATAATTAGTGTAACAAATTGTTTTATTGCACTAAAATCCAAATTAAAAAAATTAAAATTAAATCTAGCTATTATAAAATATTATTTTCAACTTATTAACTTGGTAAATATTAATGAAATCTGAAAGTAATATTTGTAAATATTTTAATGATCAATAAATTACTGGGACTTAAAAAGTTTTACTGCCATACAAATTTAATTTAAGATAATTATGTTTAACTATTAACACAATATGGAAGGCAACATGTTTTATTATATTGATATAGTTTACAAAATAATAGTTTCTCAGTGAATTCAGGAATTTATATGTTTTATTATATGTAGGTACTAATTTTTTTATTTTTTTTTATCTGTGAAAAACTTTTTTACAGGAAATTGTGTTCTAAACAAAAAATCACAAGTAATCTATTTTGTTGAATTTTGGATCTAGTTATATATTGAGCAGTTAATTTTTGATTTTTTAAGCAGTTTTTAGTTAGGAATTGAGAAATTAATGTAACTTTTCTAGACATGATAAAATTGTCAAAACATTCTGCCCATTTTTGAGTTATTCATAGACATTTGACACTTTTGAGGTTTTTAATTTTTATTCGGTTTTAAAATAAAATAATAAAATAATTTTTCTGGACTGAAATGGTTGAAAATGTAAGGTTCAAGATTCAATTTTTAAGTTTAATTTAGTGGTAAAAAAAAAGAAAAGAGACAGACATACATAGTATCTAGTTTCTGTTTATAAACGTTTTGTAAGATGACATTGATTTTGTCATTTCGATATGTATGATATTTGATATAATATGAATGTTTTATCTACATATATTAGTATATTACCTATATCTTTTATAATACTGTGATGATTTATTAGTTTTAAAATAGCATTAATACAATAGTACAGTATTATTGGAATAGGAATATAAAATCCTAGGTGATTTCCGTTTACGGCACGTTTTTTTTTCTTGTTCGCGGCGAGTGAAAGGCCGGTGAAATGCTGTTTTTGTTTGTGATAATATTTACGTAAATTCGTTTTAATCAGATTTTTAATGTACTTTTTAGTGAAGTACCTACTCAAATATTCTATCTTATACTAAATACCTATCTTTTAAACTAATATCTGTATTTGAAGTCGAAATAGTTTTTTAAAAAAAAGTTTTCACCTGAATTTACTATATTTACACCGTAAAGGTGATAAAAAATCGTTAGCTGCATGAGCAACATTTTTTTTTTTTTTTTATCAAAATTCGTACGTTTGTTTACAGACATAATCGCAAATCGAACTATTTAACATGTTAAAAATACAAAATAATAACACGATTTTGTAATTTTCTTTTGTATCGTTGTAGAGATATAATACTTGCCATAATGTTGTCTCCATGTTCCCAAGTTACTGTATTACTCGTCTACGCGTATATTATTATGTAGGTAGGTATATATTTAGACAACGATGATTAAACATGTTATAATATTTATGTATGAATTTGAATTATTAACAATCACGAGATAAAGGTATATCTCGTGATTACCCACCTTAACCGTTTCAGTAGGTTTTAATTTTTAATGTAAAACTGTATAGAAGATTCGTACCTCTATATACTTACACGATTTGCGAGATTTTCTTATACCATGCAAACCATACACCACTTTAAGTGCTCGTACAAGAAGATTATAATTTCGAGGAAATTTCTGACATTATAATAATAATATTCTGTTTTAATAATTAACGTGCAATTTAAACCGATTGTCGACTAATTAGAAAAGCTATAATATATTATGCTTGATCGTATGTGTGCGACGTACGTACCCACATTATATGGGTATATATTATATATAGTTTGTACCATAAGAATTTAATATTTTGAAATGCTCTATTTTTTTTTTCATTTCAGATTTTCCGCTTGATGTTTGGTACCTACTTGATATTTTTTCTTAGAAAACACTATGTCTGGCGAGTAAAATGCTCCGATTTTTTTATGAAATAACTTTAAAACGCGGGATTTTCGGCCAGTATTCAAAATAATATTTTAGATTCTCGACAAAAACCAAATATTAAAAACTCGACAAATGACAATTCATTGATTTTATTTTCGTTGATTTCTGGTTTACCGTTTGGCCAAGTGAGACGACACGACGATACTATTATACTACACCGAGTTATACTCAAAATTGTTTTTTGAATAATTTATCGTTGATTTCAGTAGCTGTGGTCCGAGGAAAGAAGGGTTTAAAGTCCACTATATAAATGCAAGCGAATTAAATTTTGAAAATTCCTAAATACCAAAGATATATAAACTAATATATATACTTAATACCCAATATCTTTTACCTACCCAACTTGTCATCCACAACAGTGGCCTAGCTGCCTACCCATGGTGCGATGTATGTCCGGATTTTTCGAATCCGTTTGCGTAGGTACATCGTACATACTATATATATGTATGCATATATATATACGTAAATAATAAATATACATTATGCA